CATCCTCACCCTGCCCCCACCCTCGCCCAACCTACATCCCCACCCTCACCCCACTACCATCCGCGCGCGCGTTCACACGATGCCAAATCGTTCCTGTCTGATCTGCTTGATCTTGTCACCGATGTTGTCTCTGTACTTCATGCATGCGAGCAGCCAGCGAGCGCGCGTCACGTCGTCGTCAGCGAACGCCGCCGCCACGTCGCGCACGAGTGCCGCCATCTCTCGCTCGTTCTCCTCGCCGATCGCCGCCAGCGCCTCGACGCTCGCCGCCGCTGCCATCGCCTCATTCGTCTCCATCACGTCGAGCAGGAACCCCTCGTCCACCTCCACCTCTCCGTCGCGGAACCCCATGCCGTTGAGCTCGAGGAGGTATAGTCCTCGCTTGAGCGGGTCCGCGAGACGCCAGTACGCCTTGTTGACGGCGGTCGACTGCAGCGCGGAGTAAGCGCGCTCCGTGTCCGACTTCTGCGCGTACTTGTCCGGGTGCAGCTTCGTCTGGAGGTCGCGGTAGCGCGAGCGGAGTTGCGCAAGGTCGATGTCGAAGGTCGCGGCGATGCCCATCACGTCGAAGTAGTTAGCGGCCGGGTCGGGCGACTGTACGACGTCGCATGGTGTGCAGAAGAACATCTCGCGCATGCGGTCTGTCACGCGCTTGCACTTCCAGCACTCGCGCGTCTCCGGCGGCCACTTGCAGTCGAGGCAGGAGACGTAGGCGCGCGGCGCGGGGGCGCCACCGCGCGGGGTCGCCCGTCGCGCGACACACATGTGGATGCCACTGCGCGGAGGCGCCCCCGCGGATTGCGCGGCGGAAGGAAGCGATCGAGTCATCAGCCGGCGACACTCGGACATGAGATAGCTTCGTAGCAGCGTTGTCATCGTGTGAGGTTTACGTCGTACGAGTGTGTAGGTCCGTGTTAATGTTGATTGCAAAGGCAGTCTGTGTTAACGTCAATGGCACAAACAGTTTGCTCTGGATGCTGCCTACTTACTGACCACCTCTAGTTCGACTTTGCTGATAGAAGCTGCTTCTTCCTCTGTGTCAAAATCTTCCTGTGAAAATACAGCAGATGTATCACGTCAAATTTCCACAGTTATTTAGTCATTACATAATATCAGGAGCTAATAATGACAAAGGAGTAAGACAGCGATTTGGTACCGATTTCACTACATTTTTATCGTACGAGTTCGATGTGAATAAAAATACAAATGTATACAAACATGAGCTTATTTTGTTCACTGGTCCTTATTCTATCTTCCGGTAGTATTACAAACCGCGTAGCTTCCTTCGTTTTGACATAATTCGTACTTTTGCACAACATGGTTTTCACGTTAGTTACTGTATTCTGGCGAGGCCAAGCTCCAAATTCGCACACACAGCTACTTGAAGGAGGCGCGCCAGGGCTTTTCGGCCGTAGCCTAGTCGAGTGCAGAAAATTCGCCTAGAAATTAAGTTACGTTGCACCCATGCTTGGTTTAAAAATTAAAACTATTTTACATTTAAACTATAGTTAGAATGCTTTGTTTTTATGGTTGAATCCCGCAGTTTTTTTTAAATAAACGCTGTGCTTGTAAAATATCTGAACTATTTCACCCGCGGAGGAATGATGTGTATGAATCGTTATGAGTAAACTGACGCTCCAGCCGATTGTAGCTTTTCGCACATGTGTTTTGCATAGCAACCGTCCGCATACAGTTGCCGCTGGCGCTGCCTGAGGCGATCCCTGCTGTGCCTCCTTCAAGTAGCTGTGTCAGCCTGTGTGTGCGAATTTAGAGCTTGGCCTCGCCAGAATACGGTAATTAACCTGAAAACCATGTCGTGCAAAAGTACGAATTATGTCAAAACGAGGGAAGCTACGCGGTTTGTAATACTACCGGAAGATAGAATAAGGACCAGTGAACAAAATAAGCTCATGTTTGTATACATTTGTATTTTTATTCACATCAAACTCGTACAATAAAAATGTAGTGAAATCAGTACCAAATCGCTGTCTTACTCCTTTGTCATTATTAGCTCCTGATAATATCATCTAACTGTTATGGATGGAGACAATTATATCAAATTTTACCATTAAATAGTGTTGCTATTTACCATTGCACCATTTGGCTATTTACCAAAGAATAGAAAAATTCAATGTTGTATTGCAAAACAATCATCCAACATCAACAGTCAAGTGTTTCACTTCAAATGCCACCAGTCACACATTACGATGTTTAAAATGAGGCTTTACTGACATTCACTTACTGGATCATAAATAACTCGTATAATCAAAGAGCAACTAGGACACGTAGCTACTTCTTCTCCCATCTCTAGCATCTCCTGAAATTTACAAACGATATAAATATTACTATTAGTATTACTAAACTAATACGTACTAGTAATGCTGAAGAGGTCGTTGTCGTATATGTAGTACCCGAGGTGTCGGCGAGTAAGTCGCCTACGTCTACTCCCTAACCCTAACACCCTAACCATATCAGATGGTTACCTCAGGTACATATTATTATACGCCATTATACGACAACGACCCTTCGTGCACTAGTATTATTATTAACAATACCCATTCCTGCCATCCTGGACCTGGCAATACCAAAGCAATTAATGAATTATTGACCAGATAATTTACAACGTCGCATTTTGATACAGGATCTCCACTGGCCGATAATCAATACCTTCGCGTTAGAGAACCACTCCTACCAAACCGTATGTTAGGCAGCCAGCGAAACAGCCTTGGAAGTTGGAATTTAGCTTTACTTGTCAGTTGTCTCGTTGTGTGTGTTTACTTTTGTTTTGGAAGTGTCTAAACAACCGGATCCGGCTCCACACATCAGTAATCTAAAGAACCGGATATCGCCTCTGATTGGCTAATTTTGTCACTTATTTATTTTATCAATCACGGTTGTTTAGTTTGCAGGACTCCGAAACCGGGTCCGGTCGTTTAGACACTGCCAATGGCAATACTTTTCATACGAACTTGGAGGACTTGCACTTGGAGTTGCTGTATTTACCTTTGTTATTTCGAATTTATCCCCACATGGGCAAGGATAGTAATATGTGTCGCTTTCTTCGTCAAACTCGAAGTCTTCTATTTCGACTTCGTCATGAAATACAGACATTTGTCACATTTCTAACTAAAACGACGCAGATGTGGAAATCAACACACACATGACATTGTAACAACACCCATTTGGGATGCATTTCTGCAGGGACGATCGCCGCGCCATCTGTCATCAAATGTTGAAAATTATTCACATGAGAGCCGACCACAAAATTATTCACATGTCACATGAGAGCCAGGCGCGTAGCCAGGGGGGGCGGTGGGGGCGGTCGCCCCCCCCCCAAAACGGCTCAAATATTGGCCCAAAATGGCTTAAATATTTCAAAATTTTCTGGGGGGGCATGCCCCCAGACCCCC